AGCCATGTTACCAGTAAGATGTCTAGTCTGTTAATTTTGAAATGACCAATGTTGTACTCGAATATAAATATTTATACTTTGATTATTGAATAGCCCCTGTATATCGCTGACAAGGTATGCTGTTGTGACGTGTTGTCGCGATATAAGATGTTCTTTTGCTCGCCAAAGGGCTAATTTTACGCATAATTGTATCTCTAAATTGATCATTCCTGACTTTAAATTCCAAAAGCCACGCGAGAAGCAGTTTAAGACGTCTTTACAAGTCCAAATATATCATAAATTGCAACAAATAATCCATTCTCACTCCTTGCGTAAAAATATGCCCAGTCAGCGTTTTTAGCTGGAGCTACTGTTTACTTCCGCTTCCGGGGGCACGCTTCTGAGAGCAATAAGCGCAGAAGCCCTGGGTACGAGGTTGTGATGTTATGTTAAGTTATGATGTTAAGTTATGATGTTATGTTTATGTTATGTTAAAAATTATCTAACATACGGCCCTCGCAAAGGTTAAAGTAGATTCTACTTTAACTCGACTTAATTCTCTGCAAAACTACTTGCGCACAATTCTTAACCGTGGTGAGATATCTAACTCAGAGTACGAAAACATGCGACCCTATCTCTACTCAGCCAGCTAGAGCACACGGTCTTCCTAAATGTCGAGAATTGACAGTACTTTGAACATTATAGATATCTTGCACGCATTCTAATATAAACAGTTCATTATTAATATCTTATATCGAACACGGTTAGTTAATTGAACTAGGATAGAATTACACTTGCACTAGGATAACTGGGACATTCAGGATAATTTGATAATCACCTTTTTTGTTGTATATAGTTTTCGCACTGGCTTTTGAGCTTGTGTTAGTGTAAATAATACATATTCAAACTATGGTGTAGATCGTCCTTGATTCTATCGAAAGAACCTACGCTACATTAGATCTCGTTATCGTCGTAGACAAGTTAACACAACGCAAGACAACACTATAGCTTATTTCGAGTGACGAACGAGACACTAAAATCCGTAAATCGTTTGACAGTCTTCCTCCTTTCCGACCTATCATTGACACAACAGGTACTGCTTACCAACCAGTTGCTAAATTTCTCACTAACTTACTAAATCCTTTGACTACTAATGAATTTTCTATTAAAGATACATTTGACGCTGTTTCACATAATAATCTACCACGCAAACTATTTGATGACGTATACAGATTTGTACACCATAAATTCTGACAGGAGAGTTAAATGTAAATTTTAAAGCATAAAAATATATAATACTTATTATTGAGGAGATTATATTTATCAGCAAAAGTCAAGTACGATGTATACAAACACTAACAGTACAAATCGAAACGCCTTCGCTCGAAACGTCGAAGTTCTCCTTGTATTTTCAGGTAGCTGTATCCCTATCCAACCGAAGTTTTCGTACATTTTATCAAGAGTCTATTGCTATTAATAGAATGAAACCGTCCCTCAGTGGCGTAACGTTATATCTGGGGCCCCCCGGTTCAAAATTTTCGAAGACCCCCTAGTAGAAGTGCCAAAGGCACGAGTCGAGCGCCGTATATGCACGAGTTTTCTACGGGGTCCAGGGCATGCTCATCCGGAAAATTTTTTAATCTAAACTCTCTGAAATGCCATTTCCTGGACTTTGGGGAGAGATTTTACAGAATTCTGATGGTCAGAAAACGACATTGTAGCATATCAGAGGCCCTGGCCAACGTTTTTGCTCTATCACCTAAGCCTGGGGGCCCCCATTTGGCCCATTGGTGTTGGGGGCCCCCGGGTTCTCCCGGTCTGAGACCATAATAGTTACGCCACTGCCGTCCCTAAACCATGGAACTAAAGCCTCTAAAGATCTATTAATATTTAAATAATCGTATCTTGTTACTTCACTATATATACTTGTACATATGTAATATCATCATTCATTTCCTGAAGATGACTGTAGTTTATGTTTAGTCGAAACGTCGAAATAAATTTTTCAAAATGCTTTCAATTTTCGGAGTATCTATTGTTTTGTATTTTATCAAAATACTCCGTAATTACCTTTTCAAAATGGCGGCCTTTCGTGAGTGGGCAAAATGTTTCAAACAATTTCGTTAAAATTCTCAACGAATTGTACCTGTTTTTGTATAGATTTTGCATTGTGTCTAACTCTGGGCATTCTTACTAGTTTAGTTAATGCATTTTTCTCGGTGCACGACTCTGAAAATGCGAAATTTGGATCTTTGAATTTCCGTGCACGATCATAATATACTGAATCTGAATACAAACGAGCCAAAGTCAAAGCAATTTCAAGGTGAATGTTATAACTTAAACTACACAACGTAGTTTTAATAGATAACTGCTTTATGAGAAGCATATTGGCAATAATATTATTGGTATCATATCAATAATATTGATATGATACCAATAATATTATATAAAATTTATGCAACAACAGTCCCTAAGGCCAATGAAAATTGATATCATGTTTCTCGTCCCCGCCCGCATGGGATTTATCTGCCGCACGAAAATTTTTCATTATTCATTATTTTGGAAAAAAAAGCTTAACAAAACACCAAATTGATCTCCAGATCAAAGTCTTATTGCTGCATTCCGCAAGCGCAACTCAAATTGTATCTTTCTAAAGATATTACTCGCCAGAATGCCTCTATTTTTCATGTCAGCCCTGGTATGTATATTATAATTTTACTGTAGTGTAGGACGTATTAAATTAAAATGAATTATACACCGATTTACTTCAGATTTTTATGGGGGTTTTTACTGGGTCAAGGAAATTATTGACAAGCAGAATTCAAATACAAAAAATAATGAAAAATGAAAAAAAAACGCTCCAAATTTTTGAAAATTGTGGACGAGAAACATGATATCAATTTTCATTGGCCTAATAGTTAGCGTGTGGAAACGTGAAAACTATAATGTGAAATATGATATAATATAATAATATCATTTGTATTTGTAATGCCTATAATGGCCCAATAAGGATAAAAATACCACATTACCACCGTTCGATTCAGCGTAAGAAATTGTACTTACGAATGAGAATTGTACCTACGGATGTCAACTGTATTAGTACTAAACAGCTGACATTGTTGTTTAGTACATTTAGTCACATATAGTCCAAAAATCAGAGCAATTGGTCAAATCTGCTGTGATTTATATGTTCCAAACCTTTGTCATAGCAAAATTTCACTATTATCAGAAAATTGAAGTTAAATATAAGCAAACTAGCTGCAACATTAAGCTGCTGTGTAGAGCACACAGAATGGTCCAAAATAGTCCTCCCCTTTCCTACAGGGTTCCAATAAACAATCATGATCTATATTAGACTTGAAACAATATAGAACTATAACAAAATGGGAAAATGAATAGCGACTAGAGTGTATATATCAAAGTACGTTATTGCATCTTGCTCGCTATTTATAAGGTTGTTACAAAAAACTGAACCTAAGCACATCATTTAAGGTTTATCATTCTCACACTTTCCCCGTGAAGCGTAAAATCATCTGGAGTTAGAGATAACGTATGGAACATTGTAGATTTTGGATAGGTTTTCAGGTAGTTTCATATTGTTCTGACACTGCAGAGTACAACGAGCGGGATTCAAGCTCGCATCTTCGGGTTTCTACAGCTGACAGCCGCTCTAGCAATTGAGCTATCCAGTCATCTTGGATTGGTAGCGACGGCGACGGAGCTGATAATGAAGTTAATTGATGATGAGTGTGGATTCCATGATGCTGATTCACTTGATAATGAGTTTCGATTCCATGATCGACATTGGTATTGTTCCTTGCGTTCAGTCTTGTTGAAACATATTTTAAAGTTTACGCACTTTAAGATAAATACTAAACCCTTTATTAAGATTGACGTTTACGACAACACCAACACCAACAGGGCCTCAATATTGCGTTTTTCATATACGTACGTATACGCACGTAAAACTTTAAATCAGTTTAAATGTTACTTATGAAATAACCAAATAAATAAAGCAACAGAATTTAGTGTTCCGCAAGTTTTATTATGCATTTTTTAACTTATTTGTAAAATATTTAAAAAATAGAAGGATTCAAAGTTTTACGTGCGTACGAAAAACGCAACAGTGGAAATCAGCCTTTAGACTAAATTTTAATCTAAGTAAAGAGAAGGGAATCAAACACTACAGCTAAAAAGAACGTAATGAAATTAGTGAAATTGCGAAATTTGCATGGTTGCGAAATGTTGCAAAGCTTGGCAAATATAGCCTTGCAAAGTTTGCAAATGTTCTATATGTTTGTATTACGTGCGGAAATTGTTATCATTTTCGGCTCAAAAATGGTAACAATTTTCGCACGCAATACAAACATACAAAATAGGCAAACTTTGCAAGGCTATATTTTCCGTATTTTACACAGGCTTTCTTGCCATCCTACTTTTCCTACTTTTTCCTACTTTTCTTCAACTTTCCTACTTTTCCTATTTTTTATTAAAAATTGCTTGATTTTCCTACTTTTTCCTACTTTTTCTCATAAAATCCTACTTTTTTAAGACAGCTTGGGGAATCAGTATGTTATAGCTCTCGTAATTAGATCTACAGGACTCGTAATTTTTATTCCCTAGTTGTGTCCCAGATGATAAGATCTCAGGAGGAGAAGAAGTACATTTTCCGAGTATAAAATTTCATAGCATCTCTAGAATCATAATCAATAAATTAATGAAGACTCTGAAAGTGCCAATTCCGACGATCTAGAGATTCCAAATATTCAACTCCCCCCAGTTAATCAAGCATCATATATACATGGCCGTAGCAACTGGGCCTGGGGGGCTGCAGCCCCCCAATAATTTGCTAATAATATTTTTTTTTTCAAAATCATGCAGACCTTTATCATTTAATCCATGACAAACTGCAAAGAATGAAGATATTACCCATACTTTCCTGCAACTTATCCAATATATAGTTAATTAAATACGCCTTCGCCCATTTAGTACTACTAAATTGTAAATTTCGACACACTAAAACGCTGTTTTCTGACCATTAGAATTCTGTCAATCTTCCCCAAAGTCCAGGAAATGGCATTTCAGAGACTCTAAATTTAAAAATTTACTTGCACCTTCGGCCCTCGCTTTCAGCCCCCCCCCCCCAATCGAAAAGAGCTTCCTACGGCCCTGTATATGCTCCTGCCGCAGTGTGTAGCCCAATACATGCATTTGAATTGTGTTGCAGCTGCAGAGCAGATGCCTTAGCTTTTATACCGATGCAATTTAAAAGTTGAAAGTTTTGAGAAATAAATCCTGCATAGATGAATGAGTACATAAAAATATTGAGCACCAAAAATTCACACAACTTCCCCATCAGATATCTAATGGTCTACCCCTTACCACATATATCCTAGGGGGACCAATTTTGTATATTTTTGTGTTATTTGCATCTCCTATTCCTACTTTTCCTAAAATTCTAGTCCTACTTTTGTCCTACTTTTCTACACAAGGAAGCCAGAAAGCCTGTTTACAACATTTCGTAACCAAATTTTTGCAATTTTACTAATTTTAATAAGTACTTTACGGAAATTTACTTTTTTTATTTAGATAAAAAATTAGTCTAACATGCAAGCTGTCTATTAGCATACCATATTTTCTCCATTTAATCATGGATTGTAAAATAACTGGATAGGAAACTTCCTGACGTCACAGTCTAAACCTAGTTGCAATCTGTGACGTCACCCGTGATTTTGGGCATGTTGTAAAATATGGACTGGACCTTGGACTGGACTGGACTGGACTTGTAAACTATGGACTGGACTTGTAAAACATGGACTTGTAAAACATGGACTTGCATGTAAAACATCAATCTCGTTCCCAGAGTATGCCTGTTCGGGGGTTAGGTAGTGGAGATTATCTAAAGTGCGAGCTGCGAGCTGCGAGTTGCGAGCTGCGAGTTGCGAGCTGCGAGTTGCGAGCTGCGAGTTGCGAGCTGCGAGTTGCGAGTTGCGAGTTACGAGTATATTGTTAATTTCTAATAACATCGGGTTTAATTTTAACCCAGGGTTAACACTAACCTAGCTTTGAAGCACCGAACCAGGTGTTTACACCTGTGGTTTACACTAAAAATTCAAATTGAAAACTGTATGGCATCCTGGCGGATGTGATTTTAGCTTTGTCTCAATTTGGCGCCAATTTTCAGCTTTTGAAATAAACATTCATTGCATTTATTTTTATACTTACAAACTTGTAAATAGCAATCGTTTTGATATACTGATGGTTTTTTCCCGTGTTTAGATAAAGTTTATGTATGTATATGTATGTCTATGTATAAATTGTATAAAATAAATTGTACTTCCGATGAAAAGGACTTGAGTTTTATAGGGTTCCCAGCGTTCAGTATATATAAACAAACTGAGTCGGTGTCTGGTCATACTTACTAATAAAATTAAATAACCATTTTAAGATTAGAAAGCACAAAATGGTCTGGATAACTACTAGATTTAATTAAACACAGAAACGGCAAATATAAACTTGCACTTTTATTTTCAATATAATTATTTTAATTCTTGAACATACGTATCGATGGATCTAACAAAGTAAACAAACAAGTAAAGGCCGATTTTCATCTCGTCCGTATCGTAGCATTTTCTTTTGTGTCGAAGTCATTATTTCCACTCTAGTGGTCAGGAAACAAAGAAATACGCTTCGCTACGATACGGTTGAAGTGGAAAACCGGCTTAAAGTGCACTGAAAACGTGTTGAAATTAACGAATTTAGTTACAGGGACCTTAACTTCGAAGGTCATTAATATTTATGAAACAAAAAACCCTTCGACTTTGCCTTCCATGTCGTCCATATTAATATATTTTCAAAGCCTAATTCAAAGCGAGGTTAGCGACTCGCAACTCGCAACTTGCAACTCGCAACTCGCAGCTCGCAACTCGCAGCTCGCAAAATAGCCGACCCCGGCCATTTGTAACATTGATGATCGCGGCAGCCAATCAAGTAACGATTTCGATTCGATTTCCCCAGAGTCATGCCACAACCTAACCCGCGAACAGGCATACTCTGGGAACGAGATTGGTAAAACATGGACTTGCATGTAAAACATGGACTTGTAAAACATGGACTTGATCTTCGAGCGAGTTTATTATCGATGATATGTTTCTCTATATGTACACCGGCTATATAGAACTTCTAAAAATGCACGAATTATTCTGCTGTTCTCGCTTGCCCCTGCCCCCACCTTATTTTGCCCCCGGAATTGGACAGACAATAACGAAATAGATTGGACCGAGTCAACATAATTTAACTTCGAAAATATTGTATATCTATGTTAAATAGTTTTTTAACTAACATTTTGACAAAAAAAAACTTCCACTATTTGCATGGCATGCATTTTCTATCATAGCTAGAATGTTGTAATTGGGGTCGGCTATTTTGCGAGCTGCGAGTCGAGTTGCGAGCTGCGAGTTGCGAGCTGCGAGTTGCGAGTTGCGAGCTGCGAGTCGCTAGCCTCGCTTTGAATTAGGCTTTGAAAGTATATTAATATGGACGACATGGAAGGCAAAGTCGAAGGGTTTTTTGTTTCATAAATATAATGACCTTCGAAGTTAAGGTCCCTGTAACTAAGACTTCGACACAAAAGAAAATGCTACGATACGGACGAGATAAAAATCGGCCGTTACTTGCTTTTTTACTTTGTTAGATCCATCGATACGTATGTTCAAGAATTAAAATAATTATATTGAAAATAAAAGTGCAAGTTTATATTTGCCGTTTCTGTGTTTAATAAAATCTAGTAGTTATCAGACCATTTTGTGCTTTCTAATCTTAAAATGGTTATTTAATTTTATTAGTAAGTATGACCAGACACCGACTCAGTT